TCTTGTATCCATCCCGCTGAATCAGACCAAAGCAGCTGGAGGAGAGGACAGAGGGTGAAGAAAGAGCTGAGAGTGGAGGGAGGGAGAAGGCTTTTCTGATCCTTTGGACCCCATAGGAAACCTGCTGTACCTGGAACTGGGGGTGCAGAGTGCAGCTGAATGGGACATAAATCTGGGCAGCCTGAGGAAGTACCACCAACCTTGGTTTTGTCCATAAAAGGCAAGGCAAGAATGAGAGACTAGGGTGATGTCCATGATTTCCAGGAACTCTTTTTGTTGTGTGACTTATGGGTGAGCTGAAAGTTTGCTTGTCCCTAATGTGTGTACAGTTGTACCTTGGTTCTCAAACGTAATCCATTCCGGAAGTCTGTTCGACTTCCGAAAACATTCAAAAACCAAGGCGCGGCTTCCGATTGCCTGCAGGAGCATCCTGCACTCAATCGGAATCCATGGATTCCGAAGTTCGGCTTCCAAATAACATTTGAAAACCGGAACACTCACTTCCAGGTTTTTGGGAGCCAAAACGTACGTGTACCAAGGCGTTTGAGAACCAAGGTATGTCTGTATGTTGTCTGGGAGGAAGCAAGGTCTGTTTTTCTCAAGCAAAGTGTTACTCAACAGGTATCAGAAGGATATGTTTCAAAATTGATGAATGGCTACTATAGAGAGATAAAAGAGGATTTACTCAGCTCGGCTGTTTTCAGGACAGGTTGTAACAGTATATAAAAGCCATGATAGAAACTGGTAATTGAACAGGTGAAGTGTAGGGAGAAGGGATGAATGTATTTTGAAATGATACTTGGAAAAGTTATTTTACTGGGAGCAGCAAAGGGGAGGGGAAAATAGAAGGGACATCCGGGGGGGGGGGAGTCAGCTTTTAAATTTGTATAGAATTTGTATTGATTTGGTGACAATTTGTTAAAAATTATGGAAAACCAATAAAAATAATTGGCACAGAGAGTTTGTTTGGACCCTGGGTGAGAACACAGAGGCTGAGAGGAAGGGAGTGTAAGAAGCAACATGAATTGATTTTTATATATTTGTATATAACAATGTGGCATGTTTTATGCAGCTGCGTATTTTTGTAATGTTTTGTTTAAGTTGCCTGTTCTCGCTTCCGTTTTCTGTACACCGCTTAGAGAGGTATATATTAAGAGGTATAGAATAATCAATCAATCAGTTAGAGACCCTTCTCCAGGTGCCCCCTCTGAGAGTGGTTTGGAGGGCAGCAACAATGAAGAGGACCTTTTCAGTTTTGACCTTCACCACTCCAGCACTGCAGCGATGGAATGCTCTCCCCAGTGAAGCCTGACTGCTGCCAACATTAACATCCTTTCAGTGATAGGTTCGGACAAATCTCTTTTCCCAGGCTTTTGGGGGATTGTGATAATCATGCTTACAGCTCCTTCTCTCTGTGTGGGCCGGGGAATATTATTTTATTGTTATCTGATAGCTGTTGTATTATTTACATTGCCCAGTGGTGTGGTGCATTGTTGTTGTTGTTCTTTAGTCGTTTAGTCATGTCGGACTCTTCGTGACCCCCTGGACCAGAGCACGTCAGGCACTTCTGTCTTCCACTGCCTCCCGCAGTTTGGTCAAACTCATGCTGGTAGCTTCGAGAACACTATCCAACCATCTCATCCTCTGTCGTCCCCTTCTCCTTGTGCCCTTGTGTGGTGCATTAGGTGACTAATAAATTGAAGTAATAATGCATCAGTCAACATCAACATAATCAGCATTGGTGTTCAATGTGCTGTTACTTATTCAGTTTCCGTCATGGGTGCAGAAACATAAGGGGAGATCTATTTTTTTGTGTTTTAGCAGTGGACATTACCGGTAATTGGTATACCATATTGTCCTGGCAAAGATTCGAAACCTTTGTATTATCGTCTCCATTGTTGTATTTTTGTTTACATCAATAAACAACAACAACAACAACAACAACAACAAAAAGAGAAATTCCTTAAACAAGAATCTTGGAGCTCAAAGTCATAACCTTCAAATCAAGAAATTAAATCGAGAGCTTTTAAATAGCTGGGGAAGGGTAGTGTATAACCTGCCACTTGCTTGGCAAAACCACACAATGAAGAAAAACACCCAGAATAATATAAATAGAAATGCACACAATAATAGAAATTTTCCTTCATAAACATGCTGGCTAGAAGCATGCCACTATTTTAGGTTTTAAATAGCTCATCAAAAGTGATGGCCATAAAATAATTATTCTTCTCTCCTGGAGTACTCTTCCTTCCTTCCTTTCTGTTACTTTGAAGGCTTACCTTGTCCACGGCTCTAACAGGCTTCTATGATTGGGTTAATACATTTTAAAAGCTTGACCATAAGTCTGTTAAGACTAGGAAGTCCAGTGGGGCCTAATAAGTCTGTTGAGACAATACGTCTCCTGATATTTTTGCTTGCTGCAGTGAAACTATCCATTGTCCAAATGTGGCACAATCTATAGGGTTTTGAAGTAGACATATGGTATAAAAATGTACAGAGGTGGTCTGAGGAAATAACCCATAATGTAATTGGTGCTGAAAGGAAAGGGGGGAAAACCAGACACCTTTTATGCCATCTGGTGGTTGTTAATTGCATTTGCTGGTGAAAAGGGTCTATATAAAATACGTTATCAGCTGCATCACTACAAAACTCGGTGTCATGACAATGTACAGTATACTTCTTCCTAGTACCAATCCCATGACCTGCGGTCAAGGGGAAAGGGAATCATGAAGCCTATTGCTCATCCATTCACTGTCTTGTCAGATGATTGTTTTCGTTTAGACTGAACCAAGACAAATTTCATGATGTGAGGAAACTTAAGATGCTGAAGGTCAAGACGTAATGGCTAGGATTGCATATGAATCATCATTCCTTTTAATTGTGAACTTGGCTGTTGGAGTGCCTGTCAGATTGGAAATTAAATGAAGCCATCATAGAAAATTAGATAGTGGTTTCTAGGGAACTCAGGAGGTATGCAGAAGACATGGAGGGACAGCCTAAGTACCTGCTAAACTTATTCATGTCTGTGGAGAATGTTGAGGGGCAAAAAAGAAGAATGCAGCTGATGGGGTAGGAAAGAGAAGAGGAAACTAGCTTGCTCAAGCCCCTAAAGGTTTTGTTTTTGAGGATTTGGAAGATTTTTAAAAACCTTGCAGTATACAGGGATGTTGCAGGAGCAAGGAAAGGCAAAAGGACACATTTCTCGCTTCCAAATCACCAAATACCCCACTCCCAGGTTCCACGATATAGCTATAAAATGCTTAGATTCAGGGCTACCTTTACTAATAAATCTGAATTTGAATATAATAAATTTATCTACGTTAGTATCCCCCACTTGCCATTCACTACCTAAATAACTTGTCTGAAATATTTCAGGTGGAATCCAGCCAAAGTTAAAGCACTTCAAAGTCACATTGAAGTTTCTAAGATAGAGGACTATGTCTACACTTAACTCCCCAGTGGAAATCGATGGGCTGGAATAGCTGCTGATGCTTTTAATATATATCCCACTCTTCCTTCCAAAGGAGTTCAGGGCCGCAAACAACAGGATATAAAACACTAAAAACGTATTTAAAACGTGCAAACTAGCAAAGTGCTCTACTTAAAAGGCTTGCTGGAAGTGTTTCAAGTCCGTACCCTGGACTCAGCTTTACAGCTGCAAATAAAATGTTTTAAGTGTGTTGTAAAGTGCAATATTACAAATGTGACACTAGATGGCGATGGTGAGCTATGGCAAGTTCAATAGATTATTTTTTCCCCAAAACGTTTTTTAAAAAAAGGATTTTCGCAGCGTTTTTTATGTGTGCGTACATAATGCATTTCTAGAGGGTACTAGAGGCTGATGTTTTATCAGCTTGCCTTAAGAACTAAGAAGAGCCTTGCTGAATCAGACCAAAAGGTTCATATAGCTCTGCATGCTGTCCATACTGTGCCCAACCAAATGCCTTTAAGAACACACCCCTTTGAAGAGATGAAAATATCCGCCAGAAATAGCAATGCCGAAAGAACACAAAATTACCTTTTGTGTGTGCAAAATATCCTTCTGCATGTGCTGAAATAGTCATTTTAAATCCACTGAATTGCATAATGGCACCATCTAGTGGGCAGTTCAGTGCAGCTGATCAGACCCTTTCCTTCCATAGACTGTCACTGCTAATGAGCAAAGGCAGTTTCTCCTTCACTCTCGATTGTGTGGCTGACCAAAATGGGCTGGCTGTGGTTCAGCAGTGGCTGTGCTCCTCTAATGATATAAATAAATTCTTTTCACCCAATGGCCTAGACAAATACATAAGTCTTTAGCACCTTTGGCTGGTGTCATAAACTCAAGCGAGTGGGCACCAGTCTTACTTGGGATGAGAGGGGCTTCCACAACAGCAGGGATAGGCAAACTCCAGCCCACCAGATGTTTGGGACTACAATTCCCATCATCCCTAGCTAACAGGACCAGTGGTCAGGGATGGTGGGAATTGTAGTCCCAAACATCTGGAGGGCCAGAGTTTGCCGATGCCTGTACAACAGGGATGCCTGTACAACACCCAAGTGCCTGTGCTGACTTGAAAGTCGTTTTCTAAGCAAAACGTCATTTCCTACCCTTTCTCTTCTGTTCTCCTTTTCTTCCAGCTGCACTACAGTCCAGCTTCCCCCTTCCACATACATGCAAAATAGCTGTCTGAGCCAGCAACTCAAGCTACAAAGGGCTGTGCGGGTGAAGCAATGCAGTTTGCATCGGAGGCTGATCTTTCTCAGATCATTTATACAGTACATCACAGTCTGAGATCCCTCACAACTCACTTTCCGAATACTAGGTAGTATGTATGTTTGATCATCGGAACGATCAAGCTTGAATCTGAACACAAGATAAATGTCAAGACTTTTCTTTCTTTCTTTCAGCAAACAGAAATCTATTTCCCCTAAATCAGCTTCCTCATATTTATTGCTCAACGTTATTCAGACAATACTTATTTAGCAGAACCACTGCTTTGAGGATGAAAACTAAACCACTTCTCCATTCTTGTTAAAAATGCTGAAGTGCTTAGTGTTTGTGTGTCTCCCTTTAGTATGTGGTATGAAATATTCCTGTTTTTAGTGGTGCCTATCTACAATGCTGCCCATTTGATTAACCTCTTTTTCCTTCTTTCAGCTCATTCAAGTCTACCCAACCTGGATCACAGGGGTGGTAACAATGTTGATCAAAAAGGTAAGTTTCTCCTTCAACTTACAGTAGTGAGATTCAAAATGCTATACTAGAATAGATGGTATGTTCAACTATATGTATATAAGATCAGTAAATCATCTTTGCCTTGGCACGTTGCAATAATTCTTTCTTACTTAGTGCAATAATTCTACTTTATTTCAGTTACTTACCGTATTTTTTGCTCTATAAGACTCACTTTTTCCCTCCTAAAAAGTAAGGGGAAATGTGTGTGCGTCTTATGGAGCGAATGCAGGCTGCGCAGCAATCCCAGAAGCCAGAACAGCAAGAGGGATCGCTGCTTGGTATATCTCATTTAAATTGTTTAAAAAACCCACAGCAAACAATATCAAAATAGAATAGGTCATCAGGATCCTTCCCACAGGTGCTATTCTAGCACCAATAGCCCTGTGGTGGGGGAGAAGATAGTGAAGTTCAGTGTTTCTCAACTAGAGGACACCCTCAAAGGAGTGTATGAAGCTATTTGGGGGGGGAGGGGTGTTTCCAAAAATACTATAAGTGCAAAATTAAAAGTCACAAAATTTCAATCCACTTGGAAATTTAAAAAAAAAGAATTAGGAGAGCTAGATTTGAAGGGCTGTGGGATATTTATGTTAGCTAAAAGTGGATGTGGGTTTAAAAAGGTTGAGCAACATTTGTTCTGGTGGAGGAAAATAAGGCGGACTGCCTCCCTCCCTCCCTCTCTCTCTCTCACCTGAAGTCCATCCAGCAAGAGAGTTAGTGGTATATCACTTGGGGTGAGGGGTGGAGAAGTCCAGCTATAAGGGCCTGAGGTCTTTCTTCACCTTTCTCTTTCCTGGAAACCTCTGTGTATCAAACACCAATCTGAGCAGAAAATATAGAATCATCTGTTCAAATCTGATCTAAAGTTTTAATTAAGGCTTACAGAAAAGGAGCTTGTCAAGTAGTGATTTTCTCTATGTGTTGGGTTTTACAGCTATATATTGTGACATTGCTGCTGTTAATTTGTAGCATAGGCTTCAATGTATTTTATGGTTATGTATTTCTCTCTTTTTTGCTGTAAACCACTCTCTGAGTATGTCTGTACAAGAGCAGAATATAAGTGAATTACTACAATTGCTATTGCTAATACTATTCTGCCCAAGCTTTTGATAACTGGTAAAGACCTCGGGGTTGGTTACGTGCTACACACAAAGATGTACATTAAAGTTCTGAAACAGCAGGGATTGTTTCACTTTGGGAAATGTTGATTTGTGAGGGGGGATTTGAAGTAGAGCAGGAGTAAGCAAACTTTTTCAGCAGGGGGCCGGGCCCACTGTCCCTCAAACCTTGAGGGGGGGCGGACTATATTTGGGGGGGGGACGAATTCCTATGCCCCACAAATAACCCAGAGATCCATTTTAAATAAAAGCACACATTCCACTCATGTAAAAACACACTGATTCCCAGACTGTCCACGGGCTGGATTTAGAAGGTGATTGGGCCGGATCTGGTCCCCGGGCCTTAGTTTGCCTACCCATGAAGTAGATCAAATACACAGGGTGTTCTACCTCTCTTCTCCCCCCCCCCCCCGGGTTTACAATGTCCACTCCAACTCACTCCTGAAAGCTGATTCTCCCCCTCTGCAGTGTCTTTGCCCTTATGGAAGGGATGAAGGAAGGCTGGGTAGGGTCAGGATTGGAGTAGAGAAGCACCAGGACAGAATACGTTTGAGAATATCATTTCCCCTGCTCCAAATCCCCCCACTGCCATTTGGAATTAATGGAATTCACTGACAGAAGACACTTAGATATCTTCCAGAGGTTATCTTATCAATTCATGGTCTAGTGATATTGATCAGGATGTCTATATGGAACTACCGTGTTCCGCAGGCACTCAATGCCACAACGCAAAAACCAGCTGCTAGGCAGCAGAGCAACAGTGTCCAAATGCATTTTCCAATTCAGCACACAGCATATTCTAACGAGTTGTTTGCTTCTTGACTTCTCATTACAGATGTGCCTGACAATTTCGCTACTTGCCCAGGGTCCAAAGCTGTTTTCAGCATTTGCAGCCATCCAAACGAAACCATCATAGGCGGGAATGTGATCCTGGTGTGCTACTACTCAAAGACTGATTGGCTGCCAATTAACTACACACTTTTCAGAAACCAGACCAAGGCTGTGGGCTATGCAACAACGAACAGGACAGAAGAAAGGGCTGTGTTTAACCTCACAGTCATGTCGACCAGAGATCTGGGTGAATATAAATGTAAAGCTCAAAGATTTCATGAAACCCAGTACAGCCGTGGACTCAACATTACATTAAGAGGTATGTGTATTTTCTAATATCTCGAGAGTTCTGGTTTTAGGGTGTGATCTTGAAAAGTGTCAGTTGGGAATCCTCATTGTGTTCTCATCAATTATGAGCCTGCCGTGTTGAGAACTTACAGCTTGTAAGAACCCAAGAGCCTGTCATGACAGGTGACATTTGCACCTGAAAAGCCAGTGCGCCCAAATTCAAAAAGAAAGACCTCTTCGCACAGGGCCAGAGTCTACATTTGCCATACAAACATCCATGGCTAAAGAGCAGATTAAAGGTTAAAAGGAAAATGCACTTAAAGACATAAGAATGGGAAACACACACACAAAAACAATAACCTGGGACTAAACACCAGCAAAAACCAGGGATTGCCCGGCAGAGCTTTGAATGGAATATGGCTTGTATGAGAACAGTCGTCCCTACTGACAGAATTAAGGCTGCACCCATGGTTAAAAAGCATTGGCTTAGGCTAACTTCCTTTCTGTGAACGGCAAGTTCTGCTTATGAGGAAATGGAAGTTTCTTCCCCCTTGCAGCCTCCTCCCAAATCTGTTCCTAGGAATTGGAGAACCATTTGTAATGGTGTGGGGACTGTACATGGAAAGTTGCCAGAATGCCCCCTCTTGCACAAATTTTAAACCATCTAGAATCTATTTAGTTGCTGTTGTTGTTTCATTTTACTTAAAAATGCATCCCATTTGGACAGGAACCTCATCCATGTTTACCTAACATCCATCTGATTATATTTCTCCCAGTGGCAGAAGAGAAAAAGAATAAAAACTTGGTAGCATACATTGTGCCTCCCTTGCTTCTGCTGCTGTTGCTGCTAGCAGTAAGTGCAGCAATTGCACTGCTGATTCTTCCTTGGTGTAAAGCAAGTAAGTATGACTCTGCTTTACCTATATGAGGATCCCTTTTTGTTGTTTTTTAGACTTTAATTTCTGATATCACACTACTGGCCATCATTCTATCTGCCTACAACACATTTAACAGTCCTGTGCAGGTTTTTCTATTAGGAAATGTTTAAATGTTATAATTAAAGTTTAGTTTTCTTTCCTGTTTTGATTCAGTGACCAAGGTTCCAAAAATTGTGATGTGCTCTTGACCCATTTTTGAACACATGCCAAAGTGCCCAGTGACCTCTTTGCTTTAGCTACCGTCACTGCAAGAGTGCAAAGGATATGAACTGCACAAATAAGCTTGAAATGTTAAGTTCATTAATCTTATTTGAGAGGTTAATTCAGGGGTAGGCAACCTAAGGCCCGTGGGCAAGATGCGGCTCAACTGCCTTCTCAATCTGGCCTGCAGACGGTCTGGGAATCAGTGTGTTTTTACATGAGTAGAATGTGTCCTTTTATTTAAAATGCATCTCTGGGTTATTCAGTGACGTAGCGTGGGTTGTCAGCACCCGGGGCAAGGCAAGTAATTTGTGCCCCCTAACCCGTGGATTTGCGCCCCCTAATCCGTGGATTTGCGCCCCCTAACCCCCAGATGTTGCGCCCGGTGCGGCCGGCCTCCCCTGCACCCCCCACGCTACGCCACTGGGGTTATTTGTGGGGCATAGGAATTCGTTCATATTTTTTTTCAAAATATAGTCCAGCCCACCACATGGTCTGAGGGACGGTGGACCGGCCCATGGCTGGAAAAGGTTGCTGACCCCTGGGTTAAATGGTTCCAAACGGTTTTTCCAAAGGGAACCAAATGAATTGCTTTCAGATACTTCACTTCATCAAACAAATCTGTTGTGATTTGGTCTCTTTAGTGAAGGACTTGCACATTTATTCAACCTGGCTTTTAGTCATTTTGGTGTATGCCCACAGAAACCCAAAGTTTCTCGTCTAAAAGCCCCACAGCTTCATAATGATTTTTAAGACTGGAAATTAGATTATCGACAATTACATAAAAACATCTGTCTTGAATAGATCCTTTAGATTTCTGTCACTTCGTTTCTGTCATTTCATCACGAAATGATTTCCTCTTCTTAAGGCACCTCTCTGTAAATTCTGGCTTGATGTTCATTATATTGGCAATAGCAATGCCACAGAGTAGGCATTTTGGTTTTCTTGAATTAAGGTTAATTCAGCTAACTAGCTTTTAATGTTATTGACATCAGCGGCAGTATCTCAAAGCTTATAGCAGTTTATGTCTGTAGTTAACTGAAACCAACAACTTTTACCAGATTGGTGCCATGATTATGCACTTGAATGATATGATATATTCCAAAACACCCCACAGCACAAAAGATGTCTGTAGAGACAAATTTAGGTTATTCAAAGACTCCACAGCAATGACAATCTTATCTAAAGGAGTTGCAATTAAGCATACAGAATCCACCCATGCCCTCCAATATAGGGTTGCCATGTTTCAAAAAGTGAAAATCCAGACACAATGTTGCTGAGCCTTTTTTTAGTTTTTTTTAGTTTTGCCCAAACTTTTTTTTAAAGGAAATTTGCCAAAACCTACACTTCCAATGTGGGTTGCCATGTGTCTGGATTTTACCGCACTGTAAAGTGATTTCCGTCTTGAGACGGCCGACTCCCATCTATGTCTGGGAAATTCCAGATGCATGGCAACCCTACATGTGTATCAGAGGATGTAGAAGATTTCCAACACACTCTTTCAGAATTTCCCATCACTGGGGACTACAACAACAACAAAAATAAATAAAAAGTTGCTGCACTTTGCCCAAAAAGGTATTGCTTCCTGGCAACACTCAGCACTCCACACAAGCTAAACAACAAGCACATGATTTTTTAAAAAAGTTGCAGCATCAAATGCATTTAAAGGCAGGTGTTAGTCAAGGGTGTTAGTTTCACCTGTCTAGGTGGAAAGTGTTTTTGCAAAGCATAGCATGATACATGATATATTTTCATTTTTTATTTAACGTATCTTCTAACAACTTAAATAACGGCTTGGATCTCGATGTTCTGAGAGACCATATACTCCCATACAAATGTGCCTAGGGTTTGAGATCTAGGTAAGAGGCCCTTCTCTTGGACCCATCACCCTCCGAGACATGTTGGCGAGGATGCAAGAGAGGGCTTTCTCAGCGTGCTGCTGAGGTATTGGGGGAGGGGATGTTATTAGGTTCTTGTTTTTATTTTGATTATATTTTTTGTGGTTTTATATTCTGGTTTTGTTCTGTGAACCGCCCTGAGACCTCTGGGTATAAATTCAATCACATCAAATCAAATCAAATCAACTCCCTTCCAAGGGAGGCTAGACTGAACCCTTCCCTGGCAAGACAAACATATTTCTGTCTAGAAAATTCATGGCGCTCCTAAACCTTCTGCGAGTCATGTACCCTAGCACATGGTACACACAAATATTAATTTAAGGTTTGAGGGAACAAGCGCTTCGCATTTGGTTTTACACTCACAAAGATGAAAAGTAAAAAAAACCCATGCAGATTTATTCTGGTGTGCTGATTGTACTGGCAAACTAATTCACAACGAAGCATTCGATAATGAGAGAGCAATCTTTCCTTACCTTGAGTAGCGCTGGTGTGGCGACATCTTTGTGCTTCGGCAGAATCCTTATCAGCTTTTCCTCCTAATAGAAGTGCTTGAGCATCTGACAGCCAGCTTTCACAATGTCACTCAGAATCACACAGCGATTTTGAAACCAAGCCTAGGTTGAATTAACTTCCCTGACCTTTCCTCACTTTTCTTTCACCCCAGATCGCATCTGCACTCCATGTTGTTAATTTCGCCTTGAAACGTGTTCTAGGCCAAACAAGAGGCGGCGACACGCATTCTCATGCAATAAGCTTCTCTTTGCCACTGTGGCAATGTGAACTGGGGCCTAGTCATTTTGGTCTCTGTGCGCCTAATCCTATTCATAAAGGCCTGTAGAAAAATCGGGGTTTAGCAACCTCATAGCCACTTCTCTGGTCCACCGAGCTGCCAAAATTCATCTCGTAAAGCATCGCTTGGTTTTTCCGTCTAGGCCCGGGATTTTACCCCTGCTCCTTACTTAGAACAGACCCGCTGAAGTTATAGACACGACTAACTTCGGCTGATTCATTTCAGTTGGTCTTCTCTGACTAGAATGTCACCAGTCAAGAGTAGACAACATGGTGTTAGTTGGGCCAATGGCCTGACTAGGGATGAGGCAGTTTCCTATGTTCCTATGGGTGTGTCCTGGAGAAAGCCTTGAGACTTGTAAAGATAATCGTCAAGGGCTGCATTGGCACCCAAGGCCTGAGGTCCCTCACCCATGTATGTAAGACTGGTACAGTGGTACCTTGGGTTAAGTACTTAATTCATTCCGGAGGTCCGTTCTTAACCTGAAACTGTTCTTAACCTGAAGCACCACTTTAGCTAATGGAGCCTCCTGCTGCCGCTGCAGCGCCGGAGGACGATTTCTGTTCTCATCCTGAAGCAAAGTTCTTAACCCGAAGCACTATTTTTGGGTTAGCGGAGTCTGTAACCTGAAGCGTATGTAACCTGAAGCGTATGTAACCCGAGGTACCACTGTATAGCACATTTGTTTGATTGCTAAGTTGAAATGGTTCCGGTATTTAGAGCAAGGGCAGGGAACCTTTTGTTGTAGGCCTCATCCCTTGATCAGGGTGGCATACTGGCAGTGGGCAGGGCCTGTGAAGATTGACCTTACAATTAACTCTTACTGCCACCCACTTTCCCTCTCTCTGCATCTCCCTTTCCACCACCCATCTTTCTCCTCCTTGTACTAGGGGAGGGACAACCTTGGCAAGAACATGCAACCTTCAGAGGGCTTTCTCCCACTTCATCCTTCAATTGCTCAGTCCGTTTCAGCCCATTCACATTATTTTGTCCATGTCTCTCTGGGCTCCCCCAACTGCATTAAATTTGACCCAAATTCGTCACCCGTGACCTAGAGCCAAGAAAAGAGGATGCACTTCACAGGGGAAAGAGAGGCCTTCCTTATCAGAAGCACATTTTAACCCTATCACTGTATTTTGCTTATATTTCACAGGAAAACAGAGTACAGGCAGCAAACCAGCTGTTGTCTTTTCAGCCCGTCGCCCAAGCAGTGACAACGGTGACGTTTATGATACTGGTAAAGACCGAGCAATTCCATACCCTCCCAACATTTCTCCGGGGGAAATAGGGACGTCCCATTCCGTAATGATAATTTTACTATTTATACCCCACACATCTGACTGGGTTGACCCAGCCACTCTGGAAACCAAGACAAAGTATTCTATTGAAAGAAACAAGATTTGGTTCTAGGAATTCTGACTCTATATGGCAAGGGGAATGAATATTTTACAAATCCTTTGTTGTAACATCACCACAGGGGGTAGGGGGGTGGAAACACACACGACAAATCTTTTAAGCACATGTTATAAAGGACATTATAGCTCATACGGAAGCAGCGCATGATACCCTGCAGTGTGTAGAATGACATGTGCCAATGGGCCAAACCGTATAGCCAGCTGACTATCAGGAGCTTATGCAAACAGCTTTGAAATCTGGCTGAGAGAATAAAAAACAGGACTGAAAAGAGTTGCAGTAGGCCTAATGCTGAAATCATAGTACCTCCCTGTGTTCCAAAGCCTCAAGGTAGATATTTTATGAGGGGCATTCATGGCAACTACAGGTACTTTTCTCATATAAGTGGAACATATTTCTGAAAAGAGCTAATAAGGAACTCTTTCATGTGAAGGAGTAAATGCAAAGAACTGACAAACCCAAACTCTAATAACTCTTTCCTGAAAAGGCATATATAGAAAAGCAATTTTAGCAATTCCAGAAGTACAAAATATGCCCTGTTTCATTCCTATCAATCATTAAAACCTCATCCTGGGAATCATGCAACTGAGAATTGTATTCAGTATTTCCCTGTATCTTAACAGAGATTTAATTTCAGTTTTGTTAAATAGTCCCATCACATTCCTGACCTTTCAAGACCATGAATTTAAGGATGAAGAACATAATTTCTGATTTGAGGCAGAACATATAAAAAATTGAACTGTTTTTGCAGGCCAGAAATGCCAGTTAACTCATCTTTTCACTTATTCTTTCTTGCATTCTATTCAGTATATGAAGAAAATGAGTATTGCAATGTGAAACATAAAACCAAGGAGGAAGACAACAGAAATGGTAAAGTCTATCTTGAATTCCCTAAATAAAGTAATGCTAGGTTGAATACAGGTTTGCCCTCCTGAGTTGGACAATCCTACTAAAGGCAAACTACTATATATTAGGGCATGTGCACTAGTGAGTTATACTAAACAAAGAAATAAGTGAAACAGGACTACTAGCATGCAGCTCATGCGCCTTATGGTTAAAAATAATGTCCAAACTCAACCAATATGGAAAAAAAATTCAAAACTCCATGAACTTTCATTTCAAAAATTATGTTTTACTGTATTATATATTTGATGTTAGCCGCCCTGAGCCCGGTCTTGGCCAGGGAGGGCGGGATATAAATAAAATTTGTTGTTGTTGTTGTTGTTGTAACACAACTGTTATCTTGTGAAGGATTGCAGCCTTATTATAATGACTGCTGCAAACTGGTATCTTACAAGATGCTGTGCTCTGTTTACAACGAGTTCTTAAGGAATTCTGGCCCTACTGAAAAAGAAACATTTTACATAGAAGAAATGGAGGATTTATAAATAGGCATTGTTCCTGCAAATAGGTAGGAGAAAATTCACATAAAAATGTATTTTAGACACATATTACAAATACCTTTCGGCTCATATTATAGCAAAAATGTCTTTTAAAAATGCAAACCCTTGAAGGTACAAGTTGCTATCCACAACTGACACCAAAATTAGCAGAGAATGCACATGGCAAGTACTATTGGATTGCACCCTACATTTTTCAAGTTTAGATGGGAAGACATGGAAGGTCCCCCACTGAAACCTGGAACTATGCTGCTTCCCTGAATTACATGACTGTGATGCTACCTGTAATAGTTATGGAATGGCAGGATATACCAACATGGAAACTGATATGACTAAGGTTATATACACATTATGCCTTTAAAGCATATTCAAAGCACTTGCTCCCTCAAACAGTTCTGGGCACTGCAATTTGTTAAGGGTTGCTGGGAATTGAAACACTGGGAGAGGTAAACTACAGTTCCCAGAATTACTTGATGTAAATATTGTGCTTCAAATATATAGTGTGTACGCAGCCTTTTTTTAAAAAGTTAAGTTCATTTCTTATTTATTCTAGTAATCCTTGGTGGGGATAGTACTGTGGACTATGCAGAAGTTGTCATCCGAAGATAAAAAGGTACAGTTCCTTCCTCATTATTCACAAGCAACTGGGTTTTTTTCAGATTCTCCGATTATGTCCATTTTGATCATGTTTCTGCCTGTAGTGGGTAGGCACAAATCTTTAATTTACTTACTATTTGTCATGTGTTAAAGATAGTACCCTCTTTTTCTCTTAAATGCTAGATAGCCAATTCAGCAATGTAGTGTCCAAAGTTTGGTTCAGACAAAATGTAATGTCCAAAGTTTGGTTCAGACAAAAGCAAGACTTGGTCTCATTTTGTCATCGTTGTTGTCCCCAACACTCTACTACTTCATTCTATATTACAGACCACCGGAACCAAGCTATGATTTATAAATGTGGTTTGGAGGACCACAAACCATAATTTGGATGCAAAAGAGAGGGATTCAGAACACATAAAGGGAGGAGGAAGCTTATAAAACTGAAGCTCGAGTATTATATCCAAAAATACCAGTAGTTTCTAGTGATTTGCAACGCCTTGGGGGGGAAATATGGGGTGCAGGAAGGAACCACAAACCAAAAGGCATACTACTCAGAGTGTAGAAACAGCAGCGAAACCTTCATTTTTTTCAATAATCCTTTCATATTATATATCGCACTCGTTTTTTTTGCAGTCACTGCCTTACTCCCCACCACTCCACCTAATCTCTTAAGAACTGTTTTTCCATATATTGATTAGATTACCCAACCAGTAGGAAGCTGCCAATTGTTCCTCTAAACCTGACTGTTTCCCAGTAGCTTTAGAATATTCTTCAACAAAGCCCATGTCCGTTTGTTTGTCTTTACAGGACTCTAGTTTGATACCAGTTGTCTCAAGATACTACAGCCAAGATGACACAGCAGATCTAGAACCTTTCCTTTACCCTTTGACAAGTTCAATATTACCTGCTTGCCCCTGCTACGTGTCTCCAACCTGATGTTCAGCATTTATTCAAACTGACACATCAGCAATCAAGGAAGTGGAAAACCACCACCTCACTTCATTGGTTCCAAGTCTCTCCGCCCCCCCCCATTCAATTACAATGGAGAATGATTTTGCATATGAACCTGGGACACTTAAGCTAATGTATATTCCAGTTTATGGGAATGCCATTTATATATGCTTATGTTGGAAATGGAAGCAGAATTAATTTGGCTTACAAGTTTAGGATGGGTCCATGTTCAGATGACAGTTGCTCCACTGCACACAAGTCATCCATGCCTATTTCTACTATATAAAAAGGCAAATTTATTGATCAACACTGCACTAATTCCTTTCAGATGAAGATGTTGCTATGTTGTGATAAAATTAAGATCTCCTGGGGTCTGGAAGGCTCCAATCTGCTAGTTATCAAAGGATCATTATATCTTTGCTTGCCCTCTGCTTCTTAGATAATGTTTTGTAACGTTACTATGAACTGAAAGCTGTGGCTTTCCATTTGCATGGTTTTGCCTCATCTTATCGCATGATGCAAGAGAGCCCCCTAGCGAACAGAACAATGTATCAGAAAAAGAAGCCAGTTTTCCTGGCTTTTGTTAGCTACAACCAGGGGAAAGATCCATTCAGTCAGGAAGGAGAGAATTTGTCTTTATTGTAAAGCTCAGATGTTTTTAGCTGCTGAAATGTACTTGGTTAAGAAGTCCTTTAATCGGGATATATGCATCATTTCTTTCATTGTGGTGTCTCTGTTCCTTAGCTGGACCACACCATTCTCTAGTGTGGTATCACTGACAAGGATTGTGAAGAGGATACTCATTTCATCATACCTGCAAACAAAAAAACCAAGCCTGTGGAACTGGTGCTCTTGTATTCAGTAGCAGTATGACATATTTATATTAGGGGAGGCACACTGAAAGAATCCGCTAGGCATTCTGTACATTAAAAACCAGCACTTTCCAGGAGTTTGTGGTTTTTAAAAATAACTTACAGAAATATTGCTATAAGGCATTCACTTCTCCTTGGGGGGAAAAGTTTACTAATTGACCTGTTGAAAGATTTTCAGGATTCAATGTTGCCATTGTTAACCCAGGATCAATTTCACGCCAAGTGAGTCACTCAATACTGGAGCAGATAAAGGTAATGTAGAGGTGAAGTTTGCCCACTGTCTCTAAGACAAACTGCACAGGGCTCCTTCTTTCCCAGACACCATTTACTATCCTGTTCATCTCCCACAGGCCACCACCATGCTATCCCTGAACTTTTAAGTATACAACAGAGAGCATGAACAGCCTTGGTATTCCCGTATCTTGCTTTCCCAACCTGAGAACAGCAATAGAAGTCTATACCAATTTGTGAGCCAGTGTAGGAGCCACAAAACAGCCTAGGGCTATAGCATGTTGGTGGGAGAAGGGCTGCGGAAGTGTGATGACCCACTGCAAAAGTATTTGCAATGCTAAGATAATAAAAAATAGAATTTCTCAAAAGCAGTTCAGGTATTTTTTTTAAAGGCAAGCAAGACAGTGTACTGAGTATATTGTAACAAAAGATTATTAAAACATGGCGATGAGTCAACCTTGGTCACCCTGTCAGAGGACCTCCACTAGGGTTGCCATATTTCAAAAAGTGAAAATCTGGACACAAAGGTTGTTGAGCTTCTTTGGCTAAAAATGAGTTTTGGGGCTAATTTTAATGAAATTCGTCAAAATCTACACTTTCAGTGATTTCTGCCCAGACACTGTTTACAAGGGCAGAATACCGACTATGTCAGGGAAATTCCGGACATATGGCAACCCTAATCTCTGCAGAGAGTGGGACATTGGGAACGGGACCTTGCTCCTGCTCTTGAATCTCTCTTCAGCTTTTGATACCATTGGCCGTGGTATCCTACTGGCTCTGGGGAATGGGAATTGGGGATGCTGCGTCACAGTTGTTCTGGTCCTACCTCTGGGCAGAGTCCAGAGAGCAGCATTGGAAGAGTGCTTTTTGGCTGTCTAATGGTTACACTATGGGGTGCTGCAGAGTACTCTCTTATCGCTAATGCTACATAATAGCTATAAGAAGCTGCTGGGAGTGGTCATTAGAAGTTTTCGGGAAGGGAGCGATCAGCACTATTTCTCCATAACATCTGAATCAGGAGAGGTTATGTGATCTCTGGACCAGTGCCTGGATTTTATATCACTGTTTTATCCCCACAGGGGGTTGGAATGGATGATCCTTGTGGTCTCTTCCAGCTCTACGATCCCATGTTTCTTACTTTGCAAAAAGCTGCTCCAGTGACGACTGCACAGTTTCGAGATATCCAGGCCAAACAGAAATCCCACTTTCTAACAATTCATTGAACAATCCCTTGCACACCTACGAGAAGGAAACACTGTCAGTGATTGGAATGTTAAACTGGAAAACAAGCGTAGCTTTTTAATTATAATAAATTAATTGACAGCATTAATGATGTAAAAACATTCAAGATACATTCTGGAGGAGAAAGAGCCAAAAAGGAAATCACCTAATGCCAACAATTTAACCTTGGTTCATTTAACTCAAATATATTTGACATTTCCTTGTTTTTGGCAATAGAAATTAACTTGGGAACCGATGAAAATATTTTTCCTCTTTATTTTGTATACAGTTACTTTGCTTCCTAAGCAATTAATGTTAATCCCTAGGATCATCAGCTGTGCGAAGTTTATCCCCAGTACAACTCCTGCAAGAAAGTAATAACTAGGGACAAGATTTATACATGCCTAAGCAAGTGACTCTGAGAACCTGCATATTTGTAAGTAATCCATTGGTTCGCCAAACAAGGCCAGTGCCTTTCATAGCAGCTAGGACAAAAAGATTGGATGCAGCATTTGAGCCAAATGAACTGAAGTTGTGCTTATCTACATTAAAACTCCTGCATTAGAATAAAACAAGCATACCTACTTTCATAGCTTACCTGCCTCAGCTCTATTGTAGGGCCTCTTCCCATATCCAAAGCTACTTTGATTGGTGTCAAACATGGGTGAAGTTTAAGTACCTGAAATACAAAACAGTAAAAGAGATATACAACCATGAAACATTCCCAGGACTATACAAATCACTGGCAGTATGTAATGTTCATTTTTATTTTTGAACTCATGGGAAATGGAGCCCAAGCCAGGGAATTAACGTTGCCAATTAAGTCTAAGAAAGAGAATGGGAATGTTTACATTCTCAGGACTGCATGCTGCCCTTCCTGTATGACAAGAATGAGGAGCTTGCCAGCTTAACTCCCATTTTGCTTGACCAGTTTGTTGTGCTGTCTGAACTGATAAACTGGTTAACATTAGCGATGGCTGGTTACAACTTCTAACAAATGAAGTAGGCTTGCTTAAACTAACCTTAGTTGAGTTCAACTACAGTTCTGGCTGCATATAACACATCAAGCTACACTTAAAGGTAAAGGGACCCCTAACCATTAGGTCCAGTCGTGGCCGACTCTGGGGTTGCGGCGCTCACCTCGCTTTATTGGCCGAGGGAGCCGGCGTACAGCTTACGGAACATGTGGCCAGCATGACTAAGCCGCTTCTGGCGAACCAGAGCAGCGCACGGAAACGCCGTTAACCTTCCCGCCGGAGCGGTACCTATTTATCTACTTGCACTTTGATGTGCTTTCGAACTGCTAGGCTGCACTTAATCAAAGGCAAAAACAAACTTTCTGAACTCAGTAGCATTTGAGCCCGGTGCTTGCTGCTGTTCATTCACTTGGCACTGGAATATGCTTTATAATGGTGAGTGAATATGGGCAATATCACCTTTTATAGAAAATTCAATACCCTAATCACATAATGCAATATGCTAGGTCACAATCCAACACAAGAATAATGCCCATTAGTTTTCATCTGTGTAGGAGTGACCCAAGTGTTTTAGTTATAGGCTGCCACAGTGTATATTAATTTTTCAACCTCCTAGCTGGCCTGCATATGCATTAAGAGGAAGATCACCTTTCTCTGCAGAGCTTTCTTCCTTGTTGAAGCATTTTCAGCCAACTGCATACCATCACAGAGATATGCTAACACTCCACAGTCCAGATTGCCACTCACAGACAGGATATGAGGAACAACATTCTTCCTCCCATCTCGCCCCTGAAGGAGAAGAAACAAGAATATGCATTTGGCAATCTTTAAAACCCATGAATGCATTCTACAATAAGAAAGATGTAAAGAAGCAGATTAACTCCCTTTCATTTGACGTGCTGACTCGATAAAAAAAGAGTTCACGTGATGGGGTGGAGAAGGGGAAAGATAGGTTAAAAAGTGTTTCTAAAAGAGCTGGAATGTGTGATGAGCAGAGAAAAAGTGTCTACATATTTCATTTGCTCATTTCCAAGGAAAGAAACACGCCACTCAGCACCTGCTGCCCTCCTGCTTGCCACCTTCATGATAATTCTGCACTTAGTGACTTCGAATTGGGGGATTGCTTCTACTTCGAGTCTTGTTGCTCATTCATAGCCTTGAAACTGTCGCCCGGGCAAAGTTTTTATCCCATCTTCTTCATTTGAATGTATATTAGTTAAGCAGTGCATATTGTAAAACACTTTGGGAGCCCTTGTTTGGGGCTGAAAAGCTGCCTAGAAATGTTCTTAAAATAAAATAAATTTAATAAAACTTACATGCAAACTGGATTCTTTTCCTGTATACATTTGTAGCAGTTTGTTATCCCCTAGGTTGCTCAGAGTTTCTATGACTTCCTTCCCCCAAGGAAAGTTATAATAGAGATTGCTTCTTCTTCTTCCTTCTTCATCATGATGATCACTACTGGTGAAGCTGGATGGGCTTATTGCAAACTACAGAAAAGTAACAGAAGGATCTATGAATGTACAGATGACATTTATGCCAACTACATTGTGTTTTTTCCTGGTCTAAACAGAAGCATATGCATTAATGTTTAACCTTATTCTCTAGTTAGCTGTCTTTTCACTCTGACAGAAAGTAGCATGTCTGCATATCGGCTGTGGCTCAAGGACAAATGAGACACACATTTAATGCACAACAACCAGTAGCCACTATGCTGGGGTCACCAATGAGTGCACCCACACCATTCCTTCTTGGGCAATAAAGCGTCCCTATCTTTGATGAAATTATGCATGAAATAAGCATTCCATTATAGCCAATAGGATAGGTGTTGCCCACCACAATTTCTCCAGTTTGCAAAAGTGTTATCAAGTCCTAAACAGGCTGATGACCCCTGCCCTGGGGGCATTATTAGAACTGTAGCAGGGAGCAAGGGAGAAGATTAGCCCTTTCCTCCCCTGCCTAAATCCTGGCAAAAACTGCTTCTTTCGCACAGTGCAGTCAGACGTTCCACAACCTACTCCAATGCAAGGAATAGATGGAGTGTATATCAGTGGAGACAGGGTGTGGAGTAAAAGAAACATGGGGAAATTTCAGCTGTAATTTCATGGGGGGGACGGCATGTGTAAGGGTGAGAACTTGGCTGATAAAGCACAGGTGACTAATGCCAACGCTTCACAACTTCTTCTCATGT